TGTAGCTTGTCAAAATGATACTTATACTGTCTGTTATGTGTGATTGCACCATCGGGAATGCTGGGAATTTCGCTGTACGTGTGGGGAAACTTCTGAAGCAATAGGAGTCAGGAGTCAGAGAGATACGAGGAGAGCTGGAGCTTTGATGGCAAACACTGACGGTTTATTTGGAGCTTCACAAGACATGTCACGGGCCACGAGTTGACCACACGGTTGAGATGCCACAATCAAGTCTGAAGACCCCTCTTGTAGCTCCAGGTTTGAACTAGTTCAGAGTGTAATAATCAACATTCTTCAATAGATAGACTAAACAGCTGAGGACACTGAATCACATTTGTTGTCGCTTATGGCTCGGGGTCATCTACACCCAGAGAAGGATGTGTTCCAGGTGTCCCACAACAATAACTATCTCTGACTGAGAGTAGCCCGGTCACAAACTGGCAACATCAACAACTTGCTAGGGCAGCCCCTCCTTATGGGGGATAACGGCTGGTCAGCTGTGCCAGAGGGCAAAGGAGGAGGACATGCAGGGCAAATGATTCCCCAACACTTCTGACATATTCTGTTTTCATTTCCTATTTTGTTTGATCACTCAGTTGTGATTGCATTTCTCCACTGTGGTTGAACTTGTTTACATCCTGCCTGCAGGCCTTAATCTGTCTGGTGGATAAGAAGTCGGGGGAGAAAAGCAAAGTCCGACCGCGCTTCGTGAAGCAGGACCAGGTGTGCATCGCCCGGCTGAGAGCGGCAGGAACCATCTGCTTAGAGACCTTCAAAGACTTCCCTCAGATGGGACGGTTCACACTGAGGGACGAGGGTGAGGAGAGAGAGAGAGAGAGAGAGAGAGAGAGTGTGTGTGTGTGTGTGTGTGTGTGTGTGTGTGTGTGTGTGTGTGTGTGTGTGTGTGTGTGTGTGTGTGTGTGTGTGTGTGTGTGTGTGTGTGTTAGTAAGAAAGTTTGAGTATGTTTTTCTTTTATAAAGTCATAAGAGAATCAAAATCAGAACACTTTAGGTATCCTGGAGGAAATTGGGTTTCAAGACATGTGCTCCGTTTTTAGAATGAAATAAGAAAATATAATTAAAATATTTATATAAACATACTGGTAAGAGCTAAAGTAGCAATGTGCAATAAACAGATAAAATAAGAAATATTTGTTTTGTACACATATACATACTTTTTAAAATATTATATATTTACATATTATAGATTGCATATACATTATTTTACAAATTAATTTTAATTAGCATTTCCCTATTTTTAAAACTATTTATTTTTCTCTCAACGTGTATATAAAGACTGTATATATATAATTGTTTATTTCCATATTTTTTTTATATTTATTTATTAATTCCTTGCATATCAATTATTTATTTAAATTTTTTCTCCAACTTTTATTCCTTATTTTCCAATTTACTAATGTTAGTGTTCAAATAATCAAATGTGCATTAACTTCTGTGCAGGTAAAACCATCGCCATCGGCAAAGTGCTGAAGCTGGTCCCAGAGAAGGACTAAACGCCTCGTCAGCTGACCGTTGTTCTTCCTCTTGTTACCGGGGAGAAACGCTGCTCGGCCGACAAACAGCTGCTCTCTCTTCACACTCAACACGCTGAAGAGAAGTCCAACGACAACCAGGAGAGGGATCGAGGAGTTAAAATAACGTCACACGAAGAAAACAAGACTGAATCAGTTTTTTTGATGAACTATATTAAGTGAGAGACCAAGTCCAGTGTGTCAGCTTTCTCATATTGAGAGCTCAGCTATGCCACTAATGTAGCTACAAGCCCCGCCCCCTTCTGTATTCCCACGGCTCACCGCGATGTCGGCTCGCTACGCCATTTGTTTTTAGAATGGAGATGGATGCAGTGTTACTGAGTTTGGGGAGGATATGACCACAGAAAGATTTCATATCCTGCAAAACAAGAGCAGGGTTAGCCTGTAATTATAATTTGCAAATCACATCTCCCTTTTTAAGAGCGGGATTTAGGAAACCTTTTATTTGGTTTTTAAGGATTGCTGTACCAACATTTTGAGTTTGGTCTCTCTCCACATGAGATGGTTTGATTGGATTGGGCTCACATACTACTCTGATTAAAACCACGGATAAACACAGACACACACACACAGCTGTTACATAATCTAAACTGAAAATAAATTATCAACGCTGCGTCAGAAAAGTGTGTTTTCTTTTATCAAGTATCCTCATTTCAGGTGGATTAATCAATATTCAGTGTATCAATACTAATGCAAAATCCCAACATTTAACATTTTACTATAGAGGTATCCTTTGTTGATTTAATATAATTGGATGTATTGCTAACTTTGTCAACGGATGACAAAAACTGTTATTATATTTCATTCTACCATTAATGTGCAATTTTTGCTTTTAACATTTTAAATGTTATGTTCTATCTTTATCGATCATTTGACTTTACTTTCCAAGGTATTTAGATTATTCGTACAACATTGTTTTTGCTATTATTTGACAAAGAAACACGTGAGAGAATAAGATATACAGGATTAAATGACACGCTGTTAATAGATTGCAACGGTTAGAGAATAGAAAGAAGGGAATTATCAGGAGAAATTAATAAAAATTGACATATTAATTACATTTTAAAACCCTATTCTATCCGAGCACCTTATAGGAAAGACATGGGAAGTAAAAACATTTTTTTAATTAAGCTAAATAAATATTAGCCTGATTAATTTATTTGTCTTGAAAGACAACGCAATCGCAGCAGGTGGCGATAGTGCGCCTCTGAGCTGTCAACCAACGAAGAAGAAAAAGGAATCTACCCATTGCGCATGCGTGTGGAGTTTACACGTGAAGCAGACAGCATGGCGGAGACAGCAGAAGTTGCGATAGACCGGACCCAGGTAAAAACTGTTTTCTTTGTCCTTTAATACATTTAAACTAATAATAAATATATAGTCTGTTAATAAAAGATTAAATAACCAAACCATTGTTATTATTCGGTTGTAGCTATANGTGTGCCTTGGCAGTCTCATTTCTTTGTCCTTTAATACATTTAAACTAATAATAAATATATAGTCTGTTAATAAAAGATTAAATAACCAAACCATTGTTATTATTCGGTTGTAGCTATAAGCTTACTAGCATTAGTTAGCTTGTTTTCTTTGCTGTTTAGCAACGAAGCTAATTCAAAGCAACATGTCTGGACATCTTGAAGAAAAATGGAGTCTGTCGGTTGGTTTTCATGGCATTTTATAACTGGATTTGATGTCTCTGCCAGGTGAAAAAGGCCGTCCAGGCTTTGCAGGCTTTCCTGAAAACCAAGTCCACCGGGGACTCTCTGTTCCTGGACGACACTCAGCAGATCAGCCTGCTCTTCACCCTCTGGAAGATCCCCCCGAAAGCACAGACCATCCGCATGTGAGTCCACTGACAGCCATTACAGCTGCCTTCATGCCTAATCTGTTATTTTACACTCGTATCAAGTGACTGTACTGATATCAACATTATTCCTCCCTTTCCCCATGGCCAGCGGCCTTATAGCCCCTGTTTTACATAACTTAATAACATCTGACTATAACTTCATTTGTAAAGAGTTTTTAAATCAGAAAATGTTAAAAGGTATTTTTGTATCTGCTTTCTGTGATACTACCAAACTCCGATACTTGTATATATGACTAAATAGCAGATTACTGATTTTAATTTGAAACTTTGCAAATACTTATTTCCTCTTTAATTAAAATAGATGACAAAAAATGCCTGGAGGTATTTTCGATAAATGTACAAATCTGCTTTCTGTGTTTTTAATAACCCTCCATACTCATAATACTCTCTGTGTGTGATTACTAACCCCTTTAGAACAACATAGACTAACAATTTTAGTTTTTAGTTAGTTTTAATATGAACAGCACCTTAGCAGCCCGGTTCATTCTGTGAAGTGTTTGAACCGGACAATATTTGGTGCCATAGAGATTCAACGTAAATCCAGATGGACCTCCTCTACCCGTGGAGCCTGTCTCTACAACCATTTGAAACACAACATGTCATGGTCCCGATTAGATATACCTGCCTTTCTTCTAAATGTGCTTCTTTCCAGAGCATGGAACGGTGTGAAATATGTCCTGCACAGTCCCCGCCTCTCACATCGGATGCGTCTTTTATTGATAATGTCTTCTCTATCCTGAGCTCCCCTCTCTCAGTCCCGTTGCCCCATGGCCAGCGCGGACACAGAGGAGGTTGCCTCTTCACTTCAGAGACGAGCTCCAACATGACCTCAGATTCAGACCGATCAGGTTTTATAAGCCAAGCTGCTTGCAGAGAAGGGAGGAAGAACATCAACAGAGGTGAATATCCAGTCAGAGAAACACTCAAATAAAACGGATACTCGATTAGAGTATTCGCTGCCATTTCATTAGCAGACAAGTGCTTTTAATCCAAAAGCCACTTACAATAAGATCGTTGACCAAGAAGATACAAACTTGAAGAGGAACGAGAAATCATAATAAGTAACGGTCAGGTCATAGAGCCAACATTTCAAGTTGCTCCTCAATCTGGCTTCAGATAATACCAGTCCTTTGTAGTACTACCAAGTGCTTTGTTAGGAATCTTTGTAGCATGTAATGGTATGCACACCTAGTGGAAACACAGGACATGACATGGGATGGATGACTTGTGCAATCCTTAGCTCACTTAAACATTTACAGACATCCCTTCTGTAACACAACATGGCTTTTGTATAGACATCAACAGCCATATCAATATCATTTTCAATAGTATTACAGAACTCAAGATAATTAGATGGCAAACAAAAACATCCAACTAACAATATGAAACATTGAGCGTCGCCCGTTGTTGTTCTATGCATAAAGCTCTTTCTCTACTGATGTTAACCACCACACTCGTTGCTGCGTCTTGTCGGTCATACCCGTATAAGGTCCTGAGGACGAGTACAAACCTCCCGAAGCGAAGCGCCGCCTGCTGAGTATCTTCGACCATGTTCCTCCAATATATACACAGAACGACCAGCGTCCCGCGCCTGCCTGCCGTGTCTCACCCTCGGAAACACTTTTCCTACCAGAGGAAGATGGTACACTTCTTTCTCATGTTGCATGATTCAGCTTTTTAACCCTCCTGTGTCATCGGGTCAAATCTGACGCGATTTACTACTTTCCATCAATCATAACTTTTTTGTTTTACATTAGATTGCATTAAGGCTTCATGTAGTCCTTCACAGTAGACATTTGAAACTATTATAAAATTGCTCGATCACCACTTTCATTGGATTGTTGGAATGATTTAGTCAACTTTGTAACAACCCGTCAAACATGTTCATGTTCGGGAACATTGTTCCCGGTCATACACATCGACCGACATAAAGAAAAGGGAACTAGTAACGCATCCCGGATCAGATAAAACACACAAGACCCACACACACACATCATCACACACACCAGCCACACCCACACACCATACTCTAGATTGTTCTCCCCCACTCGCCTTATGTGCGCTCAATCCCCCCATGTGAATACACACCTGGCACAATCCGCTTCTCCGGGATGCTCGACGCAACACATTGTTCAGCCCTTTGTCGTCATGTCGTATGTCTTGGTGTGATTTTACTGCGCAGTTGTTCATTCGTATAGCCAGTAGTCCTGATACATATCGTACAGTTTGAAGAGTGGTTTGTTAAATGAAATTCAAGTGGATTAGTGAGAT